AATTTCTCATAACCATAGCAGATTCTTACATAGTTCTTTTAACATTTCTGCTAAAGCCAAATAATTTCGTTCCAACATTTTTCTAACATTCATCAATTTTACAAAACAATCCTAATAATTTTTTTTAAAGCTTTCTTCCAATCTTCATCCAGCGTCTCTTCCACCTGGTCCCGGGTTTTGTCAGTCCTTTCTATCCCATCCGTCTAGTTCATTAACCTGGTAATCTTATGTCCGAGGCCCTTAAGTCTCTTCCATGTCCCTTCCGCAGATCTTCTTCATATTTATGCCTGTACTTTACTTTGTCTCCTGCTCCTTTCACTCGTGGAAACTCCAACTTGACAGTATTTTTGTCCCTTCTCGACAGATCAGCCCCTTTTCCATAGTCCACACTAAACTCCATGTGGTATTTAAAAACTTATTTCAAGGTCCCTCCAAAGTTAAGGACCCCCGCAACCCCAAACATCTCACGGCCCATTGCCAGACTTGAAAAGTCAAAACATCCCTGCATAGGGGGGTCTATCCAACCCCCCATTTCCAAACCAAACAAAACTCTATCTCTCCAAATCTGGCTTTTTCCAAGTTCATTTGTCAGATCCAACAACTCATGTTCCTGCTGGGCCACAGCTCCCTCCATCTCTGCCACCCGAGGTCCAGCAACAACCTCCTCCCTCATCTGATCTGTCAGAGCACACTCCTGAGTTGGTTCCTTCTGGGTGGGTTCTATATAGATACCCACTACCTGTCCAAAATTTCTGATCGCAACAGTCATCAAGTCCATCTTCTCATGTAACTGATCCAATAAGGCACTTGTTTTGCAGAAAGCACGCACCAAAGCTTCTGAATACATTGTTATGCAAGGTCAGAAGTCTGTTCCCACGATCTTAATCTATTGCAGCTGCAAAGCTCCCCGGATCAAATTTAGTAACAGTTTCACAGGCTCCCTCTAGGGGAAGAACTTCTATTTGTATCCGTCTCTTTTCTTTTCTTTTCTTTTTTTTTTTAAAGCAGATCTAACAACAAAGTTTCCTTTTTCAGATATTTTGTCAATATTTGTTCCTTTAAAATGCGAAGGGGAACAGTGGAATCACTATGTTTCTCTTCTTTTAACTGTCTGTCAAAGACGTTTGTCTATAGTCAATGAACTTCCCAAAAACGTCAATCCTGACACCCCGCTCCCAGGTTCAAGACAGTGGAGAATTACTTTTCTTTACACACTCTTCTGCAGGTTTAAACAGTCGGGGGAAAAAATCCCCCCTCTTCTCCTGCTTCCGAAGGGGGTTCAACAGTTTTAAATGTTGAAAGTTAATCCTTTACAAACGATTTTCTGAACTCTAGTTTGCCATGTCTTTGCTTTAATCTATCTACAAGAAACTGAAGGGTGACTTCCTGTTTAGACCTTCCCGTTTTGGTGCCAAATTAAGAAGAATTTCTTAATCCAATTTTCCATTCTACTCACAAGTCGTTGTTTAAAGTCCAATTGTCCAAATTTAACCTACTCACGGGTAGTTGTTTTTATAGCCAAATTGTCCCAGGAAAAAGGCAGCGCTCTCCGGCAACGGCTGTGCGGCTTCGCTCCACGGAAGAAGCAATTGACTCTCAGCACCGCGCCACTTGCCCCTCTTCACTCCGGAGCCCGTAGCTGGGTTCCTTTACGAGTTGGGGGCGTGCGAAAGGTGCCCGCCGAGTCCCATGGTTACAGGCTTCATCCGCCTGTGATTTTTTGAAGGGTCCCCGCTTCGCCGTAGCGGAACAGACCCGTTTTCCGTGGAGCTAGTCCCTCTGGATCAGAGGGAATCCGCCATTACCGATGGCGCCACCCCGGAAGTCTCGCGAGTCTTCCTGTCAGTGCTCTCATGTGAGTCACATAATCCCATACCCTCCAACATTTCTCTTATGAAAATAGGGATGTCCCATTCCATAATGATAATTTTAGTATTTATATTCCACACATGGAGTATAAATACCCAACACTGGGTTGCCCCAGCCACTCTGCACAGCTTCCAACATATATAAAAACAGAATAAAACATTAAAAAAACTTTCCTATACAGAATTGCCTTCTGGCAGTTTGGAGGTCGGATAACTCCATACCCTCCAACATTTCTCCAATGAAAGTAGGGACACCGTGCGTTTGGGGGCTCCACATGAGATCATGGCACTGAAAAAATGCTTTTCTCAGGACAAGATCTTGGCATGAGATCACGTGAGATCACGGCGCCCCAAATGGCTGCCATGCTCTCACAGGAAAACACTTGCGGGGTACACCCCCCTTCCTCACCATGCCCATGAAATTAGGTTAAGGGTTGTGGGTTTCCCTTAAATCAGGGTTGGTGAGCCATTATGGCTCCAAAGGCCAGATCCTTATCAGGATCATAATGCCATTGTACAAATCTATGGTGTGATCATGCTTGGAATACTTTGTCCAGTTCTGGCCTCCTAGCCACAAAAAGGATATTGTGAAGTTGGGAAGGGTTCAGAAAAAGGCAACCAAAATGATCAAGGGGATAAAGTGACTCCCCTATCAGGAAAGGTTGCAGCATCTGAGGCTTTCTGGTTTAGAGAAAAGGCAAGTAAGAGATGACATGATAGGACATTATAAAGCTATCCATAGCCTGCATAGCCTGCTGAAAATGGGTACAGAAAGGTTTTTCTCTTTCTACTGTAATGCTAGAACTCATGGACACCCAATGAAGCTCAATGTTGGAGGATTCAAGACAAATAAAAGAAAGCACTTATTCACACAGTGCATAGTTAAACTATGGAACTTGCTCCCATGGGAGGCAGCGATGGCCACCAACTTGAATTAATGTTGACAAATTAATGAAAGAGAAGGCTATTGGTGGCTACTGGCCGTGACGGCTAAGTTCTGCTTCCAAGGTCAGAAGCAGCAATTCTTCTGAATACCAGTTGTTGGAAACCACAGGCAGGTGGAGTGCTCCTGTGCTTGGCTACAAGTGATTACAGCTATGCTCATCAACCTCCACAGTTGAAGGCAGCGATGCTTCTTAATACCAGTTGCAGGGAACCACAGAACAGGAGACTGTTCTTGCTTCCAGACTTCGCAGAGAAATCTGGTTGGCCACTGTGAGAACAGGTTGCTGGATTAGATGGGCCATGGCCTGATCCAGCAGGCTCTTCTTATGGTCTGTCTTGGAGGCCAAATTTGGCAGGTGAGTGGGACCACCCACCTGTCAGTTACCTGAGATCACAAAAATGATGTCAGGTGATTTTGCACTTTGAAGTCCTGAAATCAGCAGCAGCACCTACACAGCACCTGTTGGGCAGGCCCCACCCTTACCTGTCCCACATGTGACCATATATGGTTGCCCAAAACAGCCTCACAGGCCAAAAGGGGAAGTCCATAGATTTCTCTTAGACATATATAAGCAGAGCTGATCCAAGTCGATTTTGCTGCCTGACGAGGAGGACAAGCTAGCTTCCTCCCTCTTGTGGGTACAGATGCCAACCACAATGGTCTTATCTTAGTTTTAATACTTGAGATGGGCTAGCAGCCTCTACTGCACCTAAGGGCAGCATGCTCTCTTACAGGTTGCAGGGCAGGCTGTGTGGCTCACTCACCTTCAGTATATCACTGCTTCTACCTAGCTTCCTAAATCTGCCACCTGAGGCAGCAACAGCCTGTCTCTGCCTAGTGGTAGGGCCAGCTCCGGACAAGATTCTTTTCCATCACCTGCAACAAAATTGACAAATGTCCTCTGCAAATTAGGGTGATTTGCATCAATAAATTTCCTGTCTGCGCAAGAACTTTTTCTGATGCTCTAGAGCAGGTCCTGTGGTCCTTCAGATGCTTTTGGATTGCCAAATGCCAGTGCCAGAATATCCAATGGTTTGGAGTGGTGGGGGTTGACGTCCAGCAACACCTGGAGGGCCACAGGTCCCCCACTGCGGCTTAATTTAGGATGTTTATTTTACTTGCATTAAAAAGCAAAGCTAAACAATATTGAACTGCCAAGCTTGCCTAACATTGTAGTTACAGTTGGCATCAATTCATTGTAACTAAGGAACTTACAAAGTGGGTTTGTTTTTGCAGAAAACCTTCCACCCCACATCACGGACATCTATCTAGCCCTTTGTTGGAGAAGCTGGGAGTGAACCTGGGAGCATTTTCTGCATGTAAAACATGGGTTCTCTCATTTTGCTTTGGGGGAGGGCTGCAGTTAAGTGGAGTGGTAGAGCTCTGATTTGCATGCGGAAGGTCCCAATTTCAACCCACAACTTCCTTAGGTATGGTTGGAATGTCCACAATGTGGACAATACTGAGCTAGATGGACCAATGGTTTGACTAAGTATAAGGCAGCCTCCCATGTTCCCTCCCCTGAAACTGCTGAATCTTAAACATCCCATACAGAATTATATATTTTGGATATATAATTTTTTGGAAATTATGAATCCAAAAGCTTCTTTCTTTACAGGAAAGATGTGGCTCAAGATCATTGCTCCAGTGATGTACCGTAATTCTCCTTACTGTGGCACCTAGGTTGTCTACGCTCTGGTAACCTCTAGGTTCGATTACGGCAATGTGTTATATGTGGGGCTGCCAATGAAAACAGTTTAGAAACTGCTGGTGCAGAATTCAGTGGCCAGGTTGCTTACTGGGGCAAGACTGTCTAAGCACATAACACCAATCCTGCCCTGATTGCACAGGCTGCCAATTAGTTTTTGGGCCCAATTCACAGTGCTGGATTTGACCCACAAACCCTTAAATGGCTCAGGACTGCAATGCCTCAGGGACCACCTCTCCCCATAGGAACCGACCTGCAGCCTGCAATCTGAAGCCCTTATTCATGTGCTGCCTCCACATAAGCACAGGCCTTTTCAGTGGTGACTCCTTGCTTGTGGAACGCACTCCCCAAGGAGACTCACCTGGTGTCATCGTAACATATATTTAGGCACGTGACAAAAAAACCCTTTTTCAAAAGGGCTTTGGTTTTTAAGCTATCTATGCCCTTTTTGCGTAGTGAGATGTTTTAATTCTTTTTTAATGGTCTTTTAGATTTTTTAAATGTTGGTTTTAATGTTTGTATGTGTTAGTTTACTTAAAATATTGTTAGTCACTTTGAGTTGCTGTAGCATAAAAGTGTCTAGTGAATGGAACAAGCTGACGACACCACCACCACCACCACCACCACCAACGTGTTGTATACCAAAGCATAGTGCAATGGTGAGGTATAAGTGTGCACTGGACAGTATGCCGGGTGGACCTGTTCCTCAAATTTGTTCGCATGCAGACATGCTGTTACAGTAACTGGGCCATCACTGTTCATTCCCATCTTGGTTTTTTAACTCTCTAAACCAGATTTTGCCAAACTGGTGTCCTCCATATGCTTTTGGACGACATATCCCATCAGCCCCACTATCGTACAGCCTTGTTGGATGGCACTGAAATGAGCTCTAATCCAAAACACCTGGCAGGAGCCAGGCTGGCAAAGGCAGCTCTTAACTACTCGACAGAACGATTTCATGCCGGTTGTCTCTATAGAGCCTTGAAAACTAAAATGTCACTGTGACACAAGAGAGAATGACTAAATCTTACTAATGATAATGACAGGAAACGAAAAATGACCTGACTAATCTTTCAGCTATTACTTGACTATTCATATCTATACATGTTTTGCTAGAATTTGAAATGAGGGAGGTGGGAGAGAGAGAGAAAGTTATCATTTTGTAACATTTCAAATGATTTGGTTTCTTTCGAGCACTTAGCTTGGAAGTACGTTCAGTGATCTAGTCTCATCAAATTAGCTGTCCAGTTGAACTTTTTCAGGGAAAATGGTCACAGCAACCTTAAATGCTGTTGCCTCCATTGCTGTGATGCCTCTGTGAAATCAGAGCAGCTTTGTGCTCAAGAGGGAGCAGAACTTAAAAGATTTTAACACCAATATCAACAGGAACAAAGTTCGCAAGCAGTTTTTGTCAAATCAAGCCAGATAAACAATACTCTCACACCAATATTATTATTACTACTACAATTTATTATCCACCCCTCAACCCAAGGTTCTAGTGTGTGTTACAACTATTGAAACACAATATTAGTACATATTTCACACTATAAAAAACAACTTAAAAGAACTTAAGATGACAGAAATAAGGTGAGTCCTTAACCCTGATCTAGTTCATTACTGTTTACATAGACTAGCAGCGGTTTTCCAGGATTCCAGGGAGGAGGCACTCCTGGTCCTAACTGGAGATACCAGGGATTGGAGACTTCTCCATGCAAAGCAGACACGCTAACACAATAGTTGAATCTACCTCACACTTTTTTGGAGCAGGGTGTGAACTGAAACACAGTCATTTTTTGAAATCTGTACTTCTCCAAATTTTGCAATGTCATTTAATGTTTACAAAAATGCACGTAGTAAGGTAAACTGTGCATAAAATGTATATATTAATGAAAATAATATACAAAATGCATTATGTTAGGGGAAATATAAATGTTACAGGAAATATACTTCGCAAAAACATGTATATTAGGCAACATTGCATACAAAGGTTTGTTTATTAGGGGAAAATTCATACTGAAATGCTGTTGAATAAATTCATCTGGTATTTTGAAAGGAAGGGGGAAGCTTTTCACTGAGTTTTGTAAAGCAAACAGTTGCAGAATATGGCCAGAAGTTATATGGCTGTTTCTAAAACCAGTTTACCTGCTTATCTCTTACAGTTGGACCACAACAGAGAACCTGTCAAAAATCATCTTCCCAATGCACATAAATAGCATGAGAATGAAATGGTGCCCTTTAGTCAAAGCTAGTCAGTGTTTGGGTGGATAATAAAACTAACACCAAATGGCTCATCTAGCCATGAAGCTTCCTGCTGAGCTGTGTTGTGCAATACAGACCTGTACACATTTACTCAGAAGCAGGTTCCACTATGCTCAAGGGGCTTACTTCCAGGTAAAGTGCATATAATAAATAATAAATTAATAAATTTTAATTCATATCCCGCCCTCCCCAGCCGAAGCCGGGCTCAGGGCGGCTAACAATAATAAATAGAATTGCAACCTATGCTTCCATGAAACTTTTGGCTGGACTTTTCAGCACTCATTCTCAACCTAGACATAGCCTAAGGATGTGCAAATTGGTTTACCCACATGCACCCCAGCTCCCTCCCTGCAATACGAACCTGCCCTGCTACTCTTGAGGCCCTTCTTTGAGTTCCTCTGCCATCAGGCAGCCAGCAGAGGGGTAAAAGAGAAGGACAAGAGGCAGAGAGGAAGCTAAGAGATGCAGTAGGGGGTCACTCCAAGGACCCCCTCGTGGCTTATATTCACCCAGTAGAAATACAGCTCGTGCTTGGTATGAAAAGTTAGGGGATTTCAGCAGGAAGTTGGAGGACATGCACCAAATGGATATGAAGCAACGTGACCACTCCTAAACAAGTGCAAATATTACTGAAAGAGGGATTGTGTATGACTGCCCTGAAAACATCAGGAGCACAAATAATCATGAATGCACAATAAAAAAGATGTATTGAGAGGCCAAGAATGAGGGTAGGGGACACAGCAACAGTCCTCTATCTAGTCAGAGTTCCCTAGGCTGGTCTGCTCTAAACTTCCTAAACTGCCCTACTGTTTCTGGTACAATGGAGAATGCTGTTCAATCAGCAGTGCTGAAATAAGATTCACCTGCCACTCCTTTCTGATTCTGGATGTAGAATTGGGAGGGGGCACCATCTTATCCTTCTTCTCAGGCAGCAACATTTTTGGGGGCTGGCTCCCCCAATGTGTAAATTGTAATGTAGATTGGAACAATAATTTAAGATTTACAATAGGAAGTCTCTCAGTCTCGTTCTTGCTCTTGCATGGCACACCACATTTGCACTGCACACCACATTTACAAACACGGGAAAGGGCAGTGTGTTTGCATGTGCTGCCCATGCTCCCTCCATGCTCATGTTATACAGACACTGCCATTTGGTGGGGCCATATGTGTGTGAACCTGTGTGTGCAGAGAGAGCTCCTGTGCATGTATGAGGAGGGTTCCTGATGGTCTCCAATTTCCCATTTGTGTAAAGGAACCCCAAATGCTCAGGAGCGTATGTGCATATGGTCACTTCACACAATCCAGGTGTGCAGTGGGTGTAGCTTACTGCATGTAGCAATGAGGGGTGGGACCAGTAGGTATTAAACATGTGAAGTGTTGTTGTTTTTAGCATCCCTAATATAAACTCCAGATGTTGGACTACAGCTCTCATTAGCCCCAGTCTAACTGGGGTTGTTGGCAACATAAAGACATAAAAAGAGGCCTGGTGGATCAGACCAAATTGGACCATATAGTCCAGTGTCCTGCTCTCACAATGAACAGCCAGATGCAGATATGAAACATCTGGAGGAAAACAGGTAGGGGAATATAGAATAGATAGGCTGCTGTCGCCAGATAAATTTATGGTGCCAGTGTAGGCTCAGTATTCACACATTTTTTTAAAAAAAGTTATCTATCTCTGTTGTTTTATTTATATTTTAATCAGGAACAAATATTGCGTAGTCAGAACTTAATTAATGAAGAACTGACGCATGAACTAGAACAAAATGCATGTCACTCTTTCATAGATTAATGGGCTCCATAATCCTGTCAAGACTGGTAAAACATGTTTATAAGCTAGCAAAATAAAGGCAATTGTTTGTGTGTGCGCATACACACACACACACACACACACACACACCCCACAACCACTTTCTTACTTCCACCTCTCTAGCTGGATTACTCACAGGGCTGTTTCAAATCAAAACTTAATGTTACATTGGATAGTTCAGGAAGAGGTTGTGAAGGAAAAAATTCAGTTTCCATGCCAACTAGATCCTTTAAAATACCTTCTGGTACATTATGTTCTACCTTCTCCTCTAAAAAATGGGCCACATTCAGATACTATAGTGGAACATGTCCTGACTTTATGTTGTAAAGTCAGTAATGTTGCAAGTGAAACTCGACTCCAGATCAGAATTTTAATAGCTAGCCCTGACAAAGCTGAAGTGGATCATTTATTGATATTGATGGTAAAGAATTGCCAATCAACTTGTGTGTGTGACAGTTAGCATCCACATGTCAGAAAATGGCCGCTCCACAAATGATGTTTTGCTTACATGGGAATTATAGTTTAGAAATGAGACCTGCAACCAAATGTTGCAGTGCTAAATGTTTGGGAAAGGGCTCAGTGGTGGAGCATCTGCCTTGAATTCAGAAGGTCCCGGGTTCAATCCTAGGCATTTCAAGGTAGGGTAGAGAATCATGCCTGAAATTCCAGAGGGCTGTTGCCAGTCAATATAGACAATGCTGAGCTAGATAGTCCAATGGTCTGATTCCAGAATTAGTTTAAGAAATTATTTCAGCTACACCAGCATGTTGTAGCAGTAATAGTGCTAGATTAGGGTGGGGGAGATCTAGGTTCAAGTCTGCACGCAGCCATGCAGCTCACTGGGAGACTTGGGGCCAGTCACTATCTCTTAGCCTAACCTGTCTCAAAAAGGTTGTTGTGAGACTAAACCGGGAAAGGGGAGGACTATATGTATTGTCCTGAACTTGAAAGATAGGTGGAATTTAACCTTTGCAAATAAATACATTGCAATTCCAGAGGAGCAGAATACAAGGCAAAGGGGACCTGTGGAATGATAAAGGAATGGGCCAAGGGAGATCTGCTCAAGCCTCCCCAGGCAATGGAAGGGCACAAAGTCTTTCCATGTGTCCTCTACCCTCTTGACTGGTCTGCCCCACAGTCCAATAACCTAATGCCAAAGTGGGGAGGAAAGAAGCAGCAGAGCCCAGCAGTAGCAGGAGAGAGATTGTGCCCCAGAGGAAATGCTGCTAAGTAACAACTCAGCTAATCAAGAGTCCGAACTACCTCCCATTAAACGGACATTGTGTCTCAGTTGACAATGCAACTTCTAAGAGAGAGTGCATTTCAGAACAAGCTGTACTTGGCAGCTTGCCACACTGCTCGAGAGATCCTTCTCCCGCGGGATTCCAGAGCTTCCTCAAAATACAGCAGGTCTCTTTTCCATGAATGTGGCATGAAAGAAAAGAGATTGGAAATGTCAGTGCTGGGGTTGTCATTGGTGGACAAGCAGGTGGGTTTAAAGGGATACTGTGGCACAAGCCGGTTCTCCTCTCTCCTGCACACATGCTCACTGCTGTCACACTGGACTGGAACCTTTCTTTATTTTATGAGCATGCATCAAGTTGATGGATGTCCGGGAGAGGAAACAGGAATACCAAGCCATTTGACTCTCAGGTTAAAATCAAGTTAGCCTTTCATTCTAATACAGCAGGTAAATGCACACTGACACCCTGTCTGTCATGCTAACTTAAGCCCTGGGGGTGGGGGTGGGGACCTTCCTAGGGCAACAGCACGTTAAAAAGCAACCAAAATGATCAGGGGGATGGAGTTGGGATCAACAAAATCTCTCAATTTCAGTTGTCTCAGTTTCTCATTTTTCCATTCTTAACTGCAGTTCTATACATTTGTGCAGCCCATCTGCCTTTAATAGAGAAAAAAGGAATCGTATTGAAGATTCATGATTTTAATGCAAACTTACACATTTTTGCAAGCATTTCCCCTGAAATATAATGCAATTCAGAGACTGTTTTCATGAAAATGTTCATTTTTATGTACATGTTTTTGTACCCAGTGCTTGGAAGAAGAACTGCATTGCAAAATTCAGAGAGGTCTATAGAATTAACTGCCATGAGAGTTGCTGATGGAAACCAGTTTAGGAATTTTTTTAAGGGAATTAGAACAATTCATGGTCTATCAATAGCTACTAGTCACAATGGCCAAAAGCAGCCTTCAGGTTCAGAAACAACATGTTACTTGGGTATTAATTGCCAGGGAATGGCAGAGGAAGAGGACAGTTGCCTTCATCTCCTGCTTGTGGGCTTTTTAAAGACATCTGGGGGATAGCTTCTGAAGCCAAAACACAAGCTTTCAAAGAGGGAGAATGCAAATCAAGAAGAGAGTGTAGCTTCATCTCTTCACTCTTGCCATTGCTGAGATGTTTGGAGAGGGCAGGAGAGCAGGCTGTGAAAGCAAGGAGGAGGAAGGGAAGGGGGAGCAGGGCAAGACACACTTCTTACAACTGCCTCCTCATTACTCGCAGCAGTGGCTTGCTTACACACTGGTACTGGATGGCACCTCAGGGCGCCATCTAAGTAGTCTTGAGTCCTCACCTCCAATTGTGGCAAGGTTCTGCAAGGGTCCTCCTCAAGGAAAAGCCCCTGCAGAGCTGCACCACCAGGAGGGGAAATGAGGGCACGGCAGCAGCACAGTGGGGGCTGCATCGGGCATCAAAATGTCTCCGGGGGGCCCTGAGGCTAGATGACATTGATTTAAAGGAAGCATTTCCCCACACTTTCCATTTCTTTTCCCCATCACCTTCCTTACTGCAAAAGCCTAATCTTTTAGAGAAGTGAGTTTGTTGCACAAAAGCTTCACATCAGCTATAACTGCACAACCTGAATTTGCTGGTATGTCATTGAATCCCATCAGGAGAAGAAGGGGCGGTCCGTCCTGTTTTACCACCTAAGATGAAACAGTAGATGATGCTCCCACCACCACTACCAAAGCCTTGCTAATGGCACAACTGTAGTAGCTTTTGGGTTCTGGCAAGATCTCACCATAGGTCTGCAAGATATTGCCAGAAACCTGGAACCTGCTGTTGCAGCCACTTCTCAGTTCTCTGGTGGTGGTGGCAGAGGTGGGGTGTCTCCCACCACAGGAGAAGCAAGGTGAAGGGGCACTGGTGGCTTCTGACAAGATCCTGCTAGAGTCTCACCAGAAGGCACAGCTGCTTCTCCTCACTTTGCTGGGGGAAAGTAGGGGATCCGTACTGGTGCTGGAGAAGCGAGTAGAAGCAGTAGCAGCTTCTACTGCTTCTTGCCAGAAACCAGAAGCCACAGCTGAAGCTACTTCTCCTTACTTCTCTGGTGGCAGGGGGCAGCACCTGCAGTCACAGTGGTGGAGCAAAGAGAAGTGGTGGCAGCAGTGTGTTCACGTGAGACCTCATGAGATTTCATGAGGTGGGCTCTCATAAGATATCACTGGAACCTGGAAGCGACTGCCGCTTCCCCATACTTCTCTGGTGGCGGTGGGTGAGTTGACCATGGGGCTGCTGCCCCTTGGATTCTGCCCCTCCCTCCCGCCTGAGGTGCCTGCCTCAGGGATGGGCAGACCATGAGAAAAAGATCTGGAAAGCTGAGAAAGCAGTGAAAGTAACTAGACTAGGGAAATCACTTAACAGTTCACCTCTCAGGAAAGGACCTAATGCCATTTCACCCTGGTAACTGCAGTGGGGAAAATTATGAACGTGTTGAGTCAATAGATTTCAAGGCCTTTCAAACACCAGCAGGCAGGAAAACAACCCCTCCCCTTTCTTCTTTTTGCATGTTTAGAATTTAATCTGTTGTTCAAACTGGCAAGAAGGTTGTGTGCATTCCATGCTGCTAATTCAAAATGCTGTCAAGCAACCAAACTTCACACCAGCCTCACGGTTTCACTATGAGATGTGGAAAGGCTATCAAAGAAAGCTAAGCAATAGAAAGCATATACATTAATATATCCATCATTTGGGTGGGAAGATGGTGATTAATTTCAGCATAGGGTCCCAAGGTGGATTGAAGCAATTAAAAAAATGCAATATTAAAAACAGTTCAAAACAGATTATAGTCACAAGAGTCAGTATTGAAATATGTATCTTCAGTGTCAAAGACTAGGGAAGCTCTCTAGTTCAAAGCTTTGATTAGATCTAAATAAGCTCTGCAAGAGGACTACTCATTTAAAACATTATTTACCACACCCTTCCAAAAAAATAAAATACAATTCAAAGCAGGAGAATGTCCCAAAGGACATATTGATATGTTTCAAAAGGGCCATGTTTACAAATCAACTATTCTTGGCCAGGAATTGAAAAAGAAAAAATGACAGCAGAGAGCAAAGCAATACTGAAATTGTGAAAGACTGTAGGGGAGACAAAACACCAATATTTCTTTAAAAACAAAAAAATGCCAAAGGAAGAAAAGCCCAGCAGAGGATGTTCCTCATCAGTAACCTAAATGAGTAATTAACATGTCTGGGCGAGCAGCTGAGCTCTTAACCAAAGCAAAACTGGAATGTTTTCTCTGTCCTCTTGGAGAAGCAGCTTCAGGCCAAGTGAAAGAAAAATGAGCAAGCAGAGTGACGCTGGTCATTCAGAAAAGAGCCCCAAGCAGGCACTTTGCTACTAGCATTTACAAGCATTCACTTGTAGTGTTTGCTTTCATAAGCTGCTTTGGGGGACATTGTTGAAAAGTGAGGTGTACATTTGTTTGTTTTTGTTTATTTGTTTGTTTCATATACTTGCTACCTTCTCCCTCAAGGAGCTCAGGGACCACCCTGTGGTTCTTCTCTCTGCATTTTATCATCACAAGAAGTCTGTTAGGTAGGTTAGACTGAGAGGCAGTAAGTGGCCCAAGGTCACCCAGTGAGTCACACATGTCTGAGTGGGGATGAAAATCCTGGTCTCCCGGGTCATGGTCCAACCCTTTAAGCACTGCACCACATTGGCTCATTTCATTTTGGAATTGATGAATAAATGAAGGGGAGGGTAGAAGAATAACCAAGCCAAATGCCCTGCAATATCAAATGTTCTCCAAAAGAATACAGATATATAGATTTCTGATGCCCTGTTTTACCTGCTCACTCAAGGTGCCATTGTCTCACCTTTCAATTTATTATTATCAATAATATGATTTCAAATTATATATGAGCACAAACAACTAGAAGAATTTTGTTCCAGGATCATACATAAGGTAAAAGGTTCCAGGATCATACATAAGGTAAAAGGTAACATACATTAACTATAACAACAAATATTAATTTCCCTCTTTCCTTTTTCCTTTCTCCTTCTGTGATGGAACTCCTATTTGGGGACTTCCCTGGCTTTTTTCTGGCCCACGTAGGACCAGTCTGGATAGCTGGCCTTGGTGAAGATTTAACGTTTTCATCCCAAAAGTTTTTGATTTGAGTTTCTACTGAAATGAGACTGCATTTTAATGTTGTACTTACTCTTGTTTTTAAGTTGTATTTTAATCAATTGTTTTTACCTGGTGTTAGCCACCCTGAACCCGGTCTTGGCTGTGGAGGGCAGGGTATAAATAAAATTTATTATTTATTATTATTATTATTATTATTATTATTATTATTATTATTATTAAATAAAAGCAAAAGAATTACTATTTGTTGATTCAAAGAAATGTTTGATAAAGCATAACTCATTGTGGGAGCAAGCTAACGCTTAAGAAGGTGGCATAAAGGAAGCTGGTGTAAGTTAACCTGGCGTAAAGTTGCACCAGATCCAAAAGCTGTCCAGCAGTGGGGAAGCTGCTGCCCCTCTGCCTAACCCTGGCAGAGGTAAATCAATCCTATAAAATAGTGGTTTAGGGCTTAGGCCTAGTTGCCAAGTCATCTGACTAGGCTAAATAGGCTTAGGATCCAGCCTAAGTCTCCCCCTCTAATCATGCCACACCACACCTCCATCACACCCCTTGCAAGGAGACTTACACTTGCCTCATCTTTGCCAGCTGAGCCCTGGATGAGCAAATTACACCTGCATATTGTCAGCTGAGCCAAGGTTGGGGACTTAATGCTGGCTGAGCCCATCTGAGCCAGGAATCAGTCAGCTGAGCCAGAGATCAGCTACATCCTAAGCTGTTCATCCCTTTGGATCTTCCCACAAGATTGCCCTCTGTGTCTACCAAGTCTATCCAGACTCAGAAGAGAAATGGACTGACTTATGGGTTTCCTTTAAGTGCATACAGTGCTGGTGTTCTATAGGCATCTTCCAGTTTTGCTATACACTCAATAAAGTAAAACTAAATGGTATGAAAATTATCTTTAATCCTCCTCTAGATAGTGACATTTTAATGGTCAATATATTTGAGGCCACCAGAAACCATAACAATTTATAACTATGCTTCTGTAGAGACCCTCCAAATGTTTCCAGTGCCAATAGATTAATATTCTTCAAGCCTTTTTTTTTTTTTTTTAAATCTGACTAAAGTTTTATTTTCTCATCTTGTTCTAGTTACTTAGCAATGCCAATGAGGGCCTTGGAAATAAGCCCTGTGTTGTTATTGCTCAAGTAGCCATTGCGATCTTCTGTGAGTACCTGCTCTGACATTACACACAACTTGCGTAAGACACCACTTGTGTGAGAAGTCTTTTTCCATGCATCAGCTGGCTCCAAATAACGTATGAACTGGCTGTAAGAAAAGAAACAAAGTTTGTTAGTTTTGTTTGACGGGATTATATGACATGCTTGAACAAACATCCTCTGATAAATGACAATGAGCAATTCTTCTGCAAGTATCAAAGGAACCAATTTTTTAAAATGTAAGGGACTAGTTACTTTCAATTTAACTAATTGCATAAGCTGTTGAGTATTCTTAATCATTGTTTAATCTATTAAAGTTGTAAGTCTTTAAGGTGCCATAAAACCCATTTGTTGTTCCTTCTCAGTGATGTCTTTTCTAATGTGAAATCCTTTATATGGTAAGATATCTTAGATGCTGTTTTATAAGGCATGGGAGATCAATTTTTATTTTGTCCTTAAAAGGAATATATGAGAATTAACCTCATTTTCTCCCAAACTCATGTTATAACTCTTTGGTAGGTCTTTTGCATCAGATAAGTTATGGAGGACTTCCAGAGCTTTAACAATAATCACTATTGTTTATTTTATTTATATAGGAGCCATCAATGTATATGGTGCTTCACAGGGCAATATAGGCAAAATCTTCTTTCTTTTCTTTTCTTTTCTTTAAAGCCCCTTGCACAATGAGCTTATGATTTAAATTGTGAGACAATACAAAGACAATGCTATTTTGTGCTGGATGCAGAAGGACATTAGAAGCTTGGTGTTTGGATTTAAAGGAAGGTTGTTCCATGATCTGACCATTGACAGATATGAATGGAGGACAAGCCTATCAGTGGCTACCACCCACAACTGTTGGGTCCACTTCCACTGTGCAGAAAGTGTTCTTGCACTCATGCCCTGCTTGTAGGCTTTCCATGGGCATCTGCTTGGCTACTGTGAGAACAGAGTGTTTGGCCAGCAGGGCACTTCTTGTTAGCAAAGTCACTGAAATAAATGGAGTCTGGGGAGAAAAGGCTTGATAGCACTTGATACTACTGAGTAAACTGAACAAAGCAGTGTATAATTTGAGGGAAAACAAACACAGAGATTTTGTCTTTCTTAATTCAGGCCTTGTACAAAGCAGGAAGACATGAAACTCCCTCAGAACTATACAGCTAATAAGAGCATGTGCTACCTCAGTGAGGATCATCCCACTCTGCTTGGTTGCTAAGCAACACCTCCACCTGTCTCCTTCTAGGCTAATTGACTTTAACACTAACAGAACCAACCCTTAAGTTACAAACTGAATGATCTCAGTTGTTGTACTTCCAACATCTCTTGCCCACTAATGATTTGGGCTGTGAAGGAGGCAAGAAGGCATCCCCTCAGCTTGGCAACCTGTGTGGGGAAACTGGTTATACTGCCTTAAATCTGTCTCTGTTAGGACCCCACAAAACCAAAAAAAAACAAGCCGGGGGAGGGGAAGGAGAGAGCAAAATCACAGTGGGTTTTTTTCTTAAATAGAAGAGGTGGTGATAAAGGTGCCCCAGTGATATTTGGTTGCCCAAAGGCCCAAAGAAACCTGGAGCCAGACAGAGAGCATATGCATTAATATATCCATCATTTGTGTGGGCATATTCTGTCAGAAGATGTGGTGATGGTTACTAGCTGGGCTTTAAATAGGAATTACTCCATTTAATGGAGGAGAGAGAGAAAGAGAGAGATGAATGGCTATTAGTCTTATTAGTCAAACAGAATGCCCATGGTCAGAGCTGGCATGCCACTGAATTCTAGAGTATGGCAGGCAGTCAGTGGGGTGGGGAGCTGCAGCCTTCATCACCTGCTTAAGGGATTCTCAGAGGCATTTGGAACTGATCCACACCAGTCCACCCTCAGTTAACTCCCCCTGTCTGCTTCCCTAATTACAGTTTTGCAGGTGGCTTGGTCTGCCAGCTTCCTCCTCCTCCTTGTAGAACTCTGTAGTGAGGGGGAGGACATAGACAAAACTAGAGTTAGTTGGTTCTGATTTCAGCACACTAATTAGGGAGTAAGCTCATCAGAAAACAATGATACCTTTGATGATGCATGTACAGAACTGCCCCATGGATCCCACTGAGGCAATGGGACAAATTAACTTGTTTGATCGAACTTAGCTAGCACAAGTAACTTCAGCTGGATTAGGACAGGTGTACTAATATTTTTTGGGGGGGAAAGTTCTTCGATTTGTTCCTCCTTTTTGGTGCCACATAATCACCATGCAAATGTTTGCACTTAATCAGCATCAGTTTGATGTGACATAGTGCTACTAAGGTCATTTTGACATCACTTCAAGGGTATACCTTGTATCAAAGCTGTTTACTCTTTCAAAGCACAAGTACGCACAGACACACACACACACACAAACACATTCTGCATGCAGTCTAGCCTGCTGCTCAAACTCTTGTCATGATGACTCAGAATGAACTTGAAAAGCTCTTGTAGTAAGGTGAGATTGCTTTCTTTTTTCTGCAAGAGCTACTCTGACTCAGTTTCAAGTAATCAAGCACAGAATAGCTGAGTATGTCCTCCAGAAGTTTTGCTAACTTTAGTCTATATTTCCCAAGGGAGTGGCTCCATCAAAATTAAAAGGTATACTGTGAGGTGACCAGGATGGCTGTCTGCCTGTATTCATACCGACTTTTTCAAACAACAGCAGCTTAGGGCCAAACTAGATGGCATGTTAACAGTATGACTGCATTTCATAAAGACACTGCAATCTCCGCCGTGCCTCCTTTCCAAAAGGAAATGCGAACCCTAAGTGCCTGTGTTACACGCCCCCCCCCCCCATTTCTACAGCAGTGTGAGATTTCAGGGGTCCTGGCGCTTATCCAGGCTTATCCATCTTAAAACTGATAACATGACAATATCAATCCCTACCCACACCATACACACCCCACAGTCTTGCTGAGCAGTAGGGAATTGCCAAGTGAATTCATTCTATTCCAAACACTATATTAGAATACTGTGTATATCTATATGGTTGCACCCTACAGCTTATTTTATCAGGGCCAGTGGTATCATTACGCCAATTAGGCAGCCGTCTAGGGTACAGACCTTAGTGAGACACAGTACTGACCTGTTGAGGAGCACAGTTTTAAACAGATTACTTATTACTGCATTTTTTTAAATAATAAAAAAATAGCAGTTTCAAGCTCTGTGCTTTTCATTTTTTTGTACAAGACACCCATTTTTGAAAATTGAAGTTAGCAATTTGTTGGGGGGTGCAGGCGTTCAAGTAGATAGTTTTGCCTATTGAGCAAAATAGCCCGGAACCAATACAGGATTTGGTTAACACAGAAAATATTATTACACGCTATTTACAATACTAGAGAGAGGGCAATGAACCCAAACCTGCAACACCATTTGCTCATATACATCACATTGTTATAATGGGGACTTTATGTTTGGGCAATTCAGCTAAGGACAGTAGCTCAGGGCTGAGGTCTACCTCAAAAGTACACATGCATTAGACTTGTCTGTCATGTCTCCCTCTGTGGCCTAGATGTGTTTGTGCCCTATGGTACAATGCTACAATCATTAGATAACAGGACATGTTTTTCCACCATAACAGATCTTGTTAAAAATGCATTTGATTACTTTGGTAATTAGAGCTACAACTCATTATTATATAATCTAGTATTCATTTTTTTCTAGATGCTGGAGAAAAGTGAATCTTGAGGAGAATAAATGATTAACAAGAGTAAACAAATGTTGTCCCTGACAACAGAATCACAAGCTACAGTTACTGTAAATATTGAATGTTGCATAGTTCCCCTGTTCTTTCAACCCACTGCAAAATATTTTTTTTCTTCACTTGGTATCATGTTACTGCTGTAACAGTTTGCTCCCCACCACCCGCCTGCTCCCCATGAAAATATTGTGTAGATCTGTGGATATATTTTTGAGAACAGTGGCTGCTAAGGCAAGATGCCAGGTCCCCCCCCCCCTTTTCACACTAAAAATCTGAGAGAGCTTTGCTCAAATTTCTCACATTGATGGAATATACCACCCCAAGAGCCTATTAGGGTTGAATGATAGGATATAAATGAAATTCTTCTACACATTTCAGTGGCAGTACAAAAACCTGTTAGTCACAGTTGCAGCACAAGGGGGGAAAATACAGTGATACCACGGGTTACAAATGCTTTGGGTTACAAACACTTCAGGTTATAAACTCCGCTAACCTGGAAATAGTACCTCAGGTTAAGAACTTCGCCCTAGGATGAGAATGGAAATCGCGTGCTAGCAGCATGGCAGCAGCGGGTGGCCCCATTAGCAAAAGTGCACCTCAGGTTAAGAACGGTTTCGGGTTAAGAACAGACCTCCGGAACAAATTAAGTTTGTAACCTGAGGTACCTCTATATTTGGAAGGGGGTGACAAAGACTGGGGGGGGGGAGAGCTTTATCCAAATGAGATTTCTGAAAAAAATAACAAATTTCATATTAACACTCTCATCCTAAACCTAGGCCATCTCTGAAGGCCTATTGATTTTGATGAAGCTAACCTTCAAGTAAGCATGCTTTTAGGATCCCACACGTAATTTGTATGTGAAAAGCACCTTTCCTTCAAGTATCTCCAGGACCCAACATTTCAGGGGGAGACTCTGCCATTGTCTATGCCCACCTAAAATCCTGGGATTTTTTTTCATATACCCTTTGGGAAACTATCAGGACAGCTCTGCCCAGTCCACAAACTTGGCCTTCAAGGGGTAGGGGTAGCAATATGGTCTTCTAGGCTATAAAGGTTTCCCATCCCAATGAAAACTGTCTTGAGTCCTCTCTGTATCCATATCCAACAGAGTAACTAGGACCTTGAAAGGGCCACCAATGCCTACTGTAAACTCTTGGAGTGGTGGGTCCTATCACACAATTCCTTCTCACTTATAGTACACTAGAATGTACTATGTAGATGTCAAAAGTTGGATATTTAAACTGAAGAAAGGGGGAAAGAGAAAATGCTTAGTATCCTGTAAAGCAATCATGTTTACATGGAAGGAATACACCAATTACCTGTGTGAACCTGTGTGAGATTTCCCCGCCCCCACCATGCCTGAAGACCTTTTCACTTCAACTCACAAAGCTAGACTAATGTGACTACTCTATTGCAGTCAATTTCTCTTAGCAAATGGAATGCTCATGATCATTCTACAACATTGCACTAGCTCAGCCAAAGGCTTGATAGGCATTTGAAAATCCTCCCTTTGATTAGGTTCTGGAGAGACTGGTTTCATTCAGAAAGTAGATTATTGCAGGGTTTTCAAATGTGCAGCAAGTAACCACACCTGCCCTTGTGGACAGCAGGCTCTAGAACAACTCTAGATTGAAATCAGCATGTTGAGGACAAGCATGAATGATTCTGGATTGAAAAAACTACATTTTTGTGTTATAAACAGGTTCACATGCAGCAGCCTATGCCTTTACTCTGAGGTAGTTGCCCGAAGCTTTCACCTGCTCCCATTTCACAGTGCGTTCTGTACTAATACAAATGTTACAAACATCTATGTATGAGCATAAAGAGAGGCTCCACAGGGCTGTTTATCCTATTAGCAAGTCAGTTTGAGCAGTAGCCCCATTCTCCTATATACTAGCTGATGAAAACAAGCTTCCTGCCAGCCACAAGGGAGCAAATACGCTAGTCATGGCTGTGTTCCAACATAGCATGTTCATTTATGCAATGCAGAATAAGGAATGATGACTCAGAGAGCCTTTAAGTAACAACTGTTTATCTGAGCCGCTCCCGAGGTTACCATATGTAGGTACACTCTGCCCAGCACTCAGGTCTACAAGGACCATCCCAGTGTAGTCATAAGAGCCTGGAATGCATAAACAACTTCAAAACATCTGGTGGTGTATGGTGTACCTTTCTGACAATTTGGCAAATGCAAAACTTTGAGTACACAATCATTCTGTGTTCTTTATACACTGGCAAACAATAAATAACATTTATTATTTATTTACAGGGCTATACAGAGACTCTGGGGTTGTGATCTAGTTAAACTAATTAATTGTTATTTGCCCTGAATTAGCAACTTTGCTTTGAGTTTTATTTAGGAAGGAAACACTATTGAGCCCACTATCTTGGTTCACTTTTAAGGTGTGGAGGTGCTTCAGAATCTCCAGTGCTTTATTTATGTTGCATATCACCATCTCCTTATAAAGGGTTTCCCTTTGGATACAAGAAAGTGGAAGTTATACTGTATATGGTTCTGTAGAATCCAAGAAGTTGTTACAATGCTGTGTGGATTTGTTTCAGACCCGCATGTTTTAATAACCTCTCCCTGACTTACAATATCTTTACTCAGTACTACTATGTTACATCTGATGGTGTTGGTTTAGCAATGCTGACCTGATCCAGGTTGCTGAGACAACCTGTATAACATCCAAAGTCACACACCAAAACAACTCTGCAAGTCATGATATTATGCAATGCAGTGTCACTGAGCCTCATCCTAAATCTTTATATATAGCATAGAATATCTCAAAAGATATTAAATGGGAGGGACTAATTTCACAAAGCATGTTACTAAATCTTCAGAGTTTGGAGTTATTAAGTATCTCTCAAATGACTAGAAATTCATAACTCTTTCAAAAATGTATTTGCAAACACATTTTGTGTATAAGTGAAAGGGGTTGAAAACATGTTCCTATTAGCACCACTACCACAATGGGTTTTGCTTCCAGTGTAACATGTTCCTCCTCCTCCTTCCCATTAGTAGTAGTAGTATATTTGTACCCCATCCATTTGCCTGGGTTGCTCCAGCCACTCTGGCCAGCTTCCAACAAATTATAAAAACAGAGTAAAACATCAAACATTAAAAACTTCCCTGTACTGGGCTGTCTTCAGATGTCCTCCAAAAGCCATCTAGTTGTTTATCTGCTTGACATCTGATGGGATGAAACCACTACCAAGAAGGCCCTCTGCCTGGTTCCCTGTAACTTCATTTCTTGCTCTGAGGGATTCGCCAGAAGACCCTTGGAGCTGGACCTCATAGCTATCCATGGAGGTATGGGTTAATTCTTCACCCAGGACATCTCTATCAGCTACATCTGGTACACTGGCTGAGATCCTACCTGCCTGTGTACTGTTTCACCAGAGTGGTGCATGCTCTGGTTATCTCCCACTTAGACTACTGTAATGCGCTCTGCGTGGGGCTACCTTTGAAGGTGACTTGAAGCTACAACTACCCGTAATCCAGAATGCAGCAGCTAGACTGGTGACTGGGAGTGGTTGCCGGGACCATATAACACAAGTCCTAAGCACAATGGAAACAGTAATAACAGCACAATCCAATGCATATTATCAATGCAGAAGTGCATCCCATTGCATTAAGCAAGGCATTTTCCAA